AGCACGTATAAACTTCCAATCTGGTAAGTAACAGGTTCTGTATCTATGTGTGTTTGCAGGCAATCTTCCAGCACGTATAAACTTCCATTCTATTAAGTAACAGGTTCTGTATCTATATGTGTGTTTGCAGGCAATGTTCCAGCAAGTATAAACTTCCAATCTGGAAAGTATCAGGTTCTGTGGCTATGTGTGTTTGGAGGCAATGTTCCAGCAGGTATCAACTTTCAATCTGGTAAGAAACAGGTTCTGTGGCTATGTGTGTTTGCAGGCAATGTTCCAGCACGTATAAACTTCCAATCGAAAGTATCAGGTTCTGTGGCTATTTGTGTTTGGAGGCAATGTTCCAGCAGGTATCAACTTTCAATCTGGTAAGAAACAGGTTCTGTGGCTATGTGTGTTTGCAGGCAATGTTCCAGCACGTATAAACTTCCAATCGAAAGTATCAGGTTCTGTGGCTATGTGTGTTTGGAGGCAATGTTCCAGCAGGTATCAACTTTCAATCTGGTAAGTAACAGGTTCTGTGGCTATGTGTGTTTGCAGGCAATGTTCCAGCAAGTATAAACTTCCATTCTGGTAAGAAACGGGCAATGTTCCAGCAAGTATAAACTTCCAATCTGGTAAGAAACAGGCAATGTTCCAGCAAGTATAAACTTCCAATCTGGTAAGAAACAGGCAATGTTCCAGCAAGTATAAACTTCCATTCTGGTAAGAAACAGGCAATGTTCCAGCAAGTATTAACTTCCAATCTGGTAAGAAACAGGCAATGTTCCAGCAAGTATAAACTTCCATTCTGGTAAGAAACATGCAATGTTCCAGCAAGTATAAACTTCCATTCTGGTAATTTGTTTTTAATTTAACTATCCTTCATAATTTAGCTATGGTATTTTATATCAAATCTTTTATAGGAGCCTTGGTGGCCGAGTGGTCTAAGTATCACAAGCCTGTCTGAATCCCATGTATAAGTGGTATAAACAGCAATAAATGTCTTTTTCTTGAGTGTAATATTTCTGTTTCACAGATATAAAAATAAGAAGATGTGGTATTAAAATGCCAATGATACAACTATCCACCAGAGTCATGTTTTCTTTTAATTACTAGCATTATGAAAAGAGATGATTTTCCTTTTTTTAACGGTGGTGTTACTTTTTTCCTTTCAGGTCTTCTAAACTAGATATAGACAACTACGCGAAATCTGGTAATATCACACACCATTGAAAATGTCATGTACAGTAAATCACTAAAATAGATTTTCAAGTATTTTGCATTATATTTGTACTATAATCAATCATCCCCACATCGTCTTACTTTCTGTGACTTTGTTGAATCAACTTGATTTCAATTTTTGAATTTTATTGTCTAATATTTTTATTTCAAAAGATTTTTTTTTTCAAACATTTTAACAGGGACTTTCTATACTAGTATAGAAAGTCCCTGGTTTTAATTTGTATGTTCCTTTTGGTCATATACCTCCTAATGTGGATACCCTGACTTTCAAATGTCTAGGCTTGAGTGTTCCGAGTGGAGGTCAATTCAGAAATGAGTCTCGGGCCCACGAAAATTATAAAAGTGTTATTTTCATCTTAAACGATATTTGGAAAATTAAAAATAACAATATGTCAGTTCATGAAAAAGTAGTTCGAAAAATACTGAGAGCCAAAAGCTATTTAGATACTAATAATATGGCCACAAATGGAGTTGCTAATCTCTTGTATTACATGTCTCTGTCCCTTCTCATGGTGTATATTTCCCAGCTCTTTCGCTATTCCTGTGTCTGTAGTGAAAACTTGAATTTGGACGGATGTAATCTATGTGTAGCTCATGAATTATTGATTCAGAGATTTCGTTACCATGAATTACTTTAACCTTTACTAAATTTTTCAGAGATACGAAGATTTGGTTTCGAAATTTGGCTGTACTTGTAGAAAAAAGAATGATAAAAGTGACGCCAGCAAATTTCGTACTTAATCTGTATTATGTAGTAATAAGCATTGCAATTTATAAAGGGGCATAACTCAATAATGTTTAAAGTGACACTACCCAAATTCAACTTGATCTGTGTTTTAACAGTGGAAGGCAAAATTAAACAGTGCATTGTATAAAGCATTGATTGTAATTGATTCAACTATAATCATGGACAAAGGAAGATAACTCCAATTTTAAAAATTACTTGAATAATGACATTGATATTTTTAGAAATTACATTTAGTTAAGACAAACTCAAGTTAGAGAACGGAAACGAAAAATTCAGCAATTTTTTTATTTGTAAAGGGGCATAACCCTAGAACAGTAACCAAAGTGCTTGTAAGCACTGAATGGTAAAGATTGCTTTAATTTATCAGTAGGAAGTAAAATTGAATATTGCATTCTATAAAGCATTGGTTGTAGTTGATTCAACTACCATTATGCACAAAGAAAGATAACTCCAATTTTCAAAGAAGACTAAAATATTTTTAGAAATGAAGGGTAAAAATTGCTTTAATTTATCAGTGGAAAGCAAAATTAAACATTGCATTGTATAAAGTATTGATTGTAGTTGATTCAATTATAATCATGGACAAAGGAAGATAACTCCAATTTTAAAAATGACTTGATATTTAGAAAAAAAAGAAGAAAAATTTAACAATTTTTCCATTTGTAAAGGACATAACTCTAGAACAGTAAAAGTGACGGCACCAAAATTCAAACTTGATCTGTATATTGTGGTAGTTGGCATTGTGTATAAGTTTCATAACATTTGGTTGAGGCAAACTTAAGTTAGAGAACGGAAACGAAAAATTTAGCAATTTTTCCATTTGTAAAGGAGCATAACTCTAGAACGGTAAAAGTGACGCCACCAAAATTCAAACTTGATCTGTATTTAGTGGTGATAAGCATTGTGTATAAGTTTCATAACATTTGGTTGAGGCAAACTAAAGTTAGAGAACGGAAACCAACTTTGGGACGTACAAACGGACGGACTTACAGACGGACAAGGGTAAAACTTAATGCCCCCTCCGCTACGGCGGGGGCATAAAAAGCAGATTTTTCAGAGTACCTTTTTTATTGACATCTGCGTACGTCTTTGGTAGGTTATAGGTAGTCCTGTAGTTAGTTCATATATTTGTAAGTTTTGTCTTTCCTGCTAGTGGCTGCTACGAGTCGAGCAAGGTTCATGAGTACAAGGATTTGTATAGTATACAAATCCTTGATGAGTACTACTTTTGCAGTTGCAGGACGACACTGAATTGGAAATACTTTATATTTGTACCCACTTTCACTTAAGTTAACCAAAATTTGTATTGAGGTGCTTTGACAAGAATGTTGTACCTGACATTGACACCATTTTTAGGTTTCTGTAGTCGAATCGATTGGTACTTTGTGTCTTTAGTCTTTTGTGATGTATGTTGATATGATGAGTTTAAAAGTCCTTTCTAACTGATTTTTTGGTGTTTGTATTATATTTTGCTGTTCCCACTGTCCAGGATTAGGGGAAGGATTAAGCACTCACAAACATGCTCATCCCTGCCATATTTTATGTGTGCCTGTCCCAAGTCAGGAGCCTGAAATTCACTGGTTGTCATTGTTGGTATCATATTTGTTTTTTGTTTATTGTAATGTATATAAATCAGACAGATGGTTCTCATATTGGAATTGTTTTAAGTTTTGTCATGTCAGGGCGTGTTGTAGCTCACTGTATGGTATGGGTTTTGCACATTGTTCAAGGATGAACGGTGGATAGTTTTTCTATATCACATCTTATGTTTATATCAATATTTTTAATGATCAACGAAAATGAAGTCAATCGTTCCATAAACCATAGTTAACCTATTGCTTAAAGTATCCAAGAAATGGACCTATCTGTGAAAACTAGAAATGACCATTGAACCATTATTATGAGGTCAAGGTCAGTCGAAACCAGCCTGACAGATGGTACACTTTACAATCATTCCATTCACCAAATAGTTTTCCTTTTGCCTATGGTATCTGATAAAAGGACCAAACCATGCAAATTGAAAATAAACCATTGAAACTGAAAAAAAAGGTCAAGGTCAGATGAACCCTGCCAGACAGACATGTTTATCTAAAAATTCTTTTCAATAAATAAAATAAAATTAGGTCAAGGCCAGATGAAACCTGCCAGACATACACACACACCTTACTATCATTCCATACACAATATAAATAGTTGACTTGCTATATATAATATCTGAGAAAAGGACTTAACCACAAAAACATGTTTACTAATGAACTGCAAAAATAATGTCAAGGTCAGATGAACCCTTCTCAACTCACGAAATATAGTTAACCACTTACTTTTATTATCAGAGATATGAACTTGACCAAAAAAACTTTAACTTGATCACCGATCCATGAAATGAGGTCTAGGCAAGTTAAACTCTGTCTGACCTTGCAAGGATCCCATATACTAAATATAGTTATCATATTTCTCATGGTAAAAGAGAATTTCATGTGACAAAAAAAGTAAAAATCTATACAGTAAAAAAAAAATTTTTGCTACTCAAAGTTTCTATCTGTTAAAAAAAGGGTAAAATTTGTTCTTTAATGGCAATAATTCCGTAAGAAATTGACTGACAGTTTTGATGTGAATGGACAGAAGGTAATCTCAACATTGTGAACTTCTCTCCCTGTCAGGCTTTCTCTTCCTACTGCTGTTCAAAACTTGCATTTTACCTCTATGTTATTTTTTAGCCATGTTGGTTTGCAGGAGGGATCATAGAACACAATTTTTTTAAACTAGATACCTCAATGATGATTATGGCCCAGTAGTTTCAGAGAAGATTTTTGTAAAACTAATCTGACAACGAAGAATGGACGACAAATAATGAGAATATGTCAGCAAAATAGCATTGCACAACAAAATAAATTCCAAAAGGACATTCTAATGCTGCGCTGAAGTTATTTTTTTGTGTCATTGGGTAGTTAACTCATAGACATATACCACATCTACCTTCATTCACATTCAGCCAATGGCCTTAAGAAAGTCACATGACTCAAGAAAATATCTCATATGGAAATTTATTTGATCACAGAGAATGTGATACATTTATGATCAAATATTCATTTATTTTTCGTGTCAATGAAATTCAGAGTTATCTATTAACAATAAATCATCATAAAGTGATATTAACTGTACATTTAAAATATAAATAAACAATTTGTATGGATATACACTAACATTCTTGTCTCACTGCTCTTCTAACAAATACCATAGACAATTTACTATGGACGGATTTGTTACAATTTCTTTCCTTCTATCTGCTATTATACTTAAAATAAGGAATAAGTCTACAATAAATTACATTTCAACCAAATCAACTTGAAACTAACTTTCTGCCTTAAAAGAAATTAAAATGAAATCCTATTAGCATTTTTTATTAATATACAACTTGAGACTATTGTTGAATATTTACAATAATAATTATATATGTGTAATTTATTTCATCTTACTGATATAAATTTTGATCGAAAATAACAGAAATCCATAACTTTTCATTTAATTTTAAAACTTACGTTAAGTTTATATATATTTAAATTGAAATTGACTAGTATTTTATTTTAAAATATACATGTAAGTTTTTTCTTTTATATAAACAAATATGTTTATCCATACAAGTTTTTTTTTATATAAATTACAACAAATATATACATTTAGAAAGGGAGGGCCATTTTATTTAACACTGTAAGGTACCTAAGAAAGGTAATTTTAAAACAGAGATACAGTTCAAAGAAACGATTATTTAGAGTTTGGAATTGTACCAAGAGTAGCTTCAATATTTCAAAAATTTCTTCCCTTTGTACCTTATTTGTTTTAAACAGACATACATAAGAGTTCCTTGATAGGAGCTTGCACATTAAAAAACTAGTAGTAAGTTTTCTATTATTTTTTTCAACCAGAAAATGCTACAATCAATACTATTTAAGAAATAACTGTTTAGTTCTCAAATTCAAAAGTAAAGTATCAATCCAAGAAAACATTAGGTCAGGTTCAGGTCAACCCTGTCTGACTAACTTAGAATGTGTATACCAAATATAGTTATCCTATTACTCATGAAAAACTAGAAAAAAATCATGATATAAAAAAGTTTTTGAGGTGGTCATTAAACCATGAAAATGAGGTCAGTGTTTTTATTCATAATATTCATAAAATAATTCTAGAGAATAAAGGTGGTCTGTTTTACTACCAACAAAAAAGTGTTTTTGTGTCATATTTTCCACCTTTTCCTGCTAAATAATTTCATTTTTATTAATTAATTAATTCTGGTCTTTTCTCTGTAAGCATGTCTGTCATTTTAACAGTTAATAAAAGCCAAGTAAATTAAACACCATTCCCTAATAAATAAATGATTACTAAAGGTTTTCATACACACACAAAATCTACCCATCCACCTGCCTGCCCAGGACAGACACCTTTTTTTTAATAATAATAATCCATTCATATGTTGACACAATATACTTGCAAATGGTCAATTCTATTTTGGGACATTTAACAATCTGCCATCAATCAATTAATTCTTTTTAGATTGTTATGGCAACTTCCTACATATTGTCTTTAATGGAATTGTCAACTTGCAAAGACAAGTTTAGAACACATGAAAGGATTATGCTGTAAACGTTTGTTTATATAGTTATATTAGAATATCTTATCAGAGTGGTAAGGTTTGGCTACAACAGAATCAATATATATGTTTTCTATTTCAAAAGAAATATACATCGAAGAGAAAATCATTGGTGAATGCTTATGTCGTCATTACTGAACTTGGGAAAATTAAAAATTCTGCCTTATATCATTAACATTTGTCTCAACTAGCTTTAATTATCATTATACAAGCATATTATCTCAAATATTATGTCCATCTGCAGAGTATTTCACTTACAAGAATATAATGCTATATATGTTTTAAAGAGCAGATTACAATTTCATATACACAATTGCATCAAAACAACAGCAAATAACAAATCACTTTTTGAGATCCATAATAAAGCACTTTCAAAATAAAGAACACAGAAATTCTCATGCATGAAGTTTGACAAAAATCTTTAAAATCATTCATCATTCAACAATACTTCATATATGGCCCTCGCAAAATTTACAATCATTTCATTGGCTTGCAAAGAAAGACTATTAATTAAGAGAGCCAGTCTCGTGTTATTTGTAAACTTAATATAAAAATAACTACAATTCTATTAATGTATATTGCCAGCTACATATAACATTTCTGTTTTAATAATGTATTAATGTCTACTTTTTTGAAGTGTGATCATGACAATTCATAAACTGAATATGTGTGCTTTTACTATATAGGATCCACAACCTTCGATGACCTTCAAGGTCATTTATCTATAGACTTGGGAGTACTTCTATGGCACTGTTTTATTGTCACACACAATTTGACCATTCCCTTCACACAGTACAGATTAAAATATGTCATTTGTATTAATCATTTAGATCGCCATCTTTAGTGAAATATTTTCTAAAAGAAATAGATGATGAGCTTATCTAACATAGACTTGTAACTGATTAGCCGACTGTAATAACATTTTAAGTCCAGGCATAAAGTTACTAATTTCTGAGAAGTTTCCATGGCTGACCATCTGATTGTAGACTTGTAAGCCACTGTTATAATCACCCTGTTGTATAGACTGGATGATCTGGTGTAGTCCTAAAATCACATTCTGTGATAGCTGTAAATAGAAATGGGAACCAGTTAAACACAAATATACCATATACTAGTGTTATCTACAATAATGTACAGTAAACCAGTCAAACAGAAATACACAATGTTCTAGTGTTATATTGTGATAAAGCATTTAAAATACAGAATATTGTCCAAAAAGTCAAAAAATGTGTAAAAACTTGTTTCCAGCATCCCTTGGAAAAAAATTATATGATAGGTAGGTAGGTAGGTAAAATGATTTTATTTTTACATATACTATATAGGGAAATGTTCTTGACTTTAAAACTGCTTCATAAAAAATGTCTGGTCTTTGGGGGCGGGCTTAACCAAAATGTCTGTAATGTGTGTTAGGGAAGGCATTAATTTTTTTTGTATGTAGGGAGGCAGGACGCACAAGTGATTTTTGTGACCAAAATAATATGCCACTTACAATTAACAAAGAATCCAACTCTTGAAAAGGTAATTTTTTTCTTAAGATGTCTGTGATTGGGCCATTTTTTCAGTACATTTCAGTTTTCATAAAACTGTTGTCAATAATTCATTGAATAATATATTTATAAGCATGTCCATTGATCAATGTAATAAATCTAATATGAAAAGAGCGAGGTCCTTCCTTCTCCTCCATAATATATCTCGACAAAGTAAAAACCATTTGATAATCTACATCAGCCAAGTGGTTTATATATACAAATTATTACCAGGAATGAAACATTTAACAATTCTGAATGATATCTACAAATAACAATGTGAAGATATACTTATTGATCATTGTTGATTTAGAACTAAATTTATAATGATTGACAGGTATGAAGTAAACTTCAGTGTTTCATAATACCAAGAAACTCCACGATGGTTCAGGTTTTTCCAAAGCCTTTTTTTTAAACTGTTTAAAAAGTTAAAATTGTTTATTCATTGCAAATTTTCTTTCTATCTGAATTTTCTTTTTGACTTACACTATTAGTACGAAGTCTGCCATAAAGGAGCTCCAGTTTTCTTGTTACATCATCAAGTTTTCTCTTCATTTGCTGTAAAAGTTTTATCAGTATAAGTACAGAAGTAATATGGTAAATATACAGAAGCTTCAACACACTAAATGTAGAATAGCAGCAATTATACAAAACTTATGCAAGGAATTGGTGAGGTGAATTGTCAAAAATATGATGAACTGCATAAATAAGGTCATTACCATCAATTGGCACTAGAATGGGTCCTAAATCACAGGTAAAAAATTATAGTCTGGTGTAATAGATAATAGTAGGTATAGTGTATATGAACACAATTTAAAATGCCTAGTATGGTAATTGCTTTTCCTTTAAGGTTAAAAAGAAAATGCAAAATCAAACAACATAAACTTGTGTGTGCATAATTACTGATTATATAATTGTTATAGCATTTCTAGTTTTCCCTTCATTGCATGTAAATACAGCTCTAAAAAATATATTAAAATATGACGCTTGTATTAAATCGATAGCCTGTCAACAAGAGGTTGTGAATTTCGAACTCTGCTCATGGCAGGTGTGTTCTACTTTGATCTTAATTGACAGTTTTCCTGTTGATTGTCAGCAGTTCTCTCTGGTTAATCCCAATTCCTCCACACATGAGATCTGGCTGTCATGATATAGCCAAGAAAGCTGAAAGTGGTGTTAAACAACAATCAATCAATCAATAATTCTATATGCTTACAGGATTAGTAGCAGCTGACAAACAAGACTTGACTAGACCGTCAAATATATCTTGTAGAGCTTGATGTTCTGTTGGTATTGGTTCTCTGTGAACTTCCTGTTGTACTTGTGGAGCATGAACTTCGCTTGCCACAGCTGCCATTGCTGCAGCCTGTAAAATATAATCATAGGATCACAACATTTCATTTCAAATCGTTTTGAATATTTCATTTCTTGCAAAGAATCAATCAAAGAAGTATGTTTCCTCTCATATTCAACCAAGGAAGATCACACAGCATGTAAATCTTTGAAAACTTCCCGTCTTTTGTTATCTTTCCTACAACTATTACATTTCATCATGTCAAAGAAATTACTAAGTTTATTAAGTATGGTCATATTTAAATATTTAAATAAAATAACCGATAAACTTTCATTAGTTTGGGAACATTTATCATGTTTATACCTCACCTATAAAAAGTGATGTGAAGGTCACAAGATATAGTCTATGTATAAATTTATTGCATTTTGCTTGAATTAGCATTTTCTTTCTTTTCAACTTAATTAGATATACAATGTAATTGTTTAAATGACAAGATGTTTCTATCAGAAGCACATTTTGTGTTAGTTATATGTGCCTTTATATCTAAATATATGTGCAACACCATTCAAATAGAAATATTGACATTTAACAAGACATATAATGTGCACTTCAAACAGACGACATTTCCCAATACATAATAACAGTTATTACTATAGTTTTTGGAAATACAAACAAATCAGAAATGTGCCTCTTTGTTCAAGTGAAAAAGATGATCTATATACTGTGGGAAAATGTCAGTTTATGTAATTACCGGAATATTCAAAGATTTCTTTGTTTTACTCAGCTGAAAGTAAAGATATGGATGACATAACCTTTTATAAGGTAAATAATACAGGGTTTGAAAATAAACAGGAAAAATAAATACATTATCTAGTTGTCCATTGAAATATCTGATTTTATAAACATGATAGCTAATTATTTACCAACCATAAAATAAATATTTCCCTACACTATTTATAAAGATATTTATACAAATATAAAAATGCATATAGCAATAAAATGAAAAAAGAATAGAGGGGGTTCTCACCTTTCGTTGGGGTGGTATGTTGGAGGGTTGTTGATAATTCCAATTCCCTTGGTACGTAGGCTGAATGGAAGATAACAGTTATGTTAGATAACAACATGGATGTGCATATACTGAAGCACAAGCTAAATACACCACAACATATAAACTTAATCATCTTACTTCTTCTTACCAAGTAAAAACATGCTTATAACATCTTATATCTTTTTTTAACTTGACACATATGCTACTTAGTATATAAATTTCATTTGTTCTTGTTTGGCCTTTTTGTCAATTTTATAATTATGAAAAATTCGTTTATCGTCTTCATAACTTAAATATCTGGGAAGAAGAAATAATATCAATAAAAAATGTCAAAAGTTTCAATATAGAAAATGTGCAAAAAATACATTTTCTGTTTTTAAAAATAAAATGCTGTACTCCTGCTAGCATAAGATTGTTATTAGCCTAACATCAACAAAAGTAATAATATTCATATCTTCTCAAGTTTTGTGTTGTGGCTAATATCAAATTTCTCTTGTGTATTTTTAAAAAGAATCTTTTATTACCGTAACTATTCAATATATTTAAGAATTAAGTAATATGGCTCTTTTTTATGTGTTTACAGGGAAAGGAATGCAGGACATTATGGAAGTTGCTTGTTCACTCAGTAAAACAAATTTCACACATCTAAATGTTTAAATTCTATTTTATTAACAGTATGCAACAGCTGTTTTGATTCAAAATTTAAATTTTAAGGAAATATTGGGGAAAATATAATAATTGGCAAATTTGATTATATATGTAAAAAGTAGGTGTGAGGTAAATACATTTAAAGTGACCCCTTGTTACATTCACAGGTTAAAATAAGATATATATCTTGTATATTTCATGCAAAGTTCAATAGAAGCTAAATGCAAACACATATATATTATGTAAAGCAATTTAAAAATAACATGCAAATGCATTCAGAATTAAACCATAGAAGGTTGTTAAGAGCAAGAAACAGACTTCTTTGAAAACTTTTCTCTTAAAAAATATCAAAGGATCGATTCAGATTAACATACAAAAAATAAATGGAACAACAAGTGAAAGTTGACATGAATTAATATGACTGACCTAGTTTAGGATGAAAACAATTCTGAGAGGCAACAGTGGCATAGCATAGAAAATCATCATGAATTAAAAAAAAAAATGGAAGTAACACACAACAGAAATATATGAAATATCTCAAAATGGGAATTTCTATACAGTTCATAAGTTTTTTTCAAACATTGAAATTTCTGCCTTTAAATTGGATAATTTTAGATGTTAACATTCCAGGCAGAAATTATAAAAAATGTAGATTACCTGTGCCTGCATCTCGGCCTGTATTGCCTGAGGATTATACAGATTGGAGTAGTCAACTGCTGGTGCATTGGGCATTTTCTTGCCTGCCTGTAATGAAGATTTAGTTTTTGTATTAGTTTGAAATCTAAATAGCATAAAAAAATTTCCACACTCTATTCTTAGACATAATTTACTTTTTAACAAATAAAATAAATGGGGAATGTGTCCATGGGACACAGATGATGCCCCTGCTTGCACTTCATATAAAGTTATAAAGGGATATAACTGAAGAACAGTAAAAGTGACTTTACCCAAATTTGTACTTGATCTGAGTTTTGTGGTAATAAGTATTGTGTATAAGTTTCATAACATTTGGTTGAGGCAAACTTAAGTTGGAGAACGGAAACGAAAAATTCAGCCATTTTTCCATTTGTAAAGGGGCATAACTCTAGAATGGTTTTAGTGACGCCACTAAAATTCAAACTTGATTTGTGTTTTGTGCTAATTAGCATTGTGTATAAGTTTCATAACATTTGGTTGAGGCAAACTAAAGTTCAAGAACGGAAACCAACTTTGGGACGTACGGACTGAAGTACAGACGGACAAGGGTAAAACTTAGGCATAAAAAATAAAAATGCAAAATGTTTTTAAAACACATTTCAACAGGAGTAATAGAAGAAAAGAGTCTCCAAATTTTAGTTGCACAAGGTGTGTGAATTTGTACAAATCTATTAAAATTCAGTCAATTTGTTCTTACTTAGAACTTCATAGTAAAAGTTAATTATATCATTTACTTGTAATTGTAATGAATTCAAAATTTTGCTAATTAACCAAATTCAGCTTTGGACCATATTTGCAAATTAATTTAGCAATTACTTCAGATGAACGTTGACCATCTTTATTAACCACTCATCCTACCAGATTTTGATCATAATTTTTTTCTACAAGTAATTAGTTACCTTTGGTGCTCTCTCCTGCACTAGTGGTGTATCATTCCAACAATTTTCTGGCTTTTCATAAATAAATGAATGGAAACCTGTGTTGCTTGAGGGTGAATTGCTTGGTCCACCTGTTTTAGATTAAGTCACATTAGTATTCAAAAACATCTATAAACCACATTACTATTGAACATAATTCCTTTATTTTTTCCATTAACACAATTTTTTTTTAATTATAGTCCTTTAATGATTCTCTATACCAATTAAATTAAAAAAAAAACTGATGGTATTATATTCATTTCTCTAAGAAAGAATAAAACTGTTTCTTATTGTATTTTATTCTCTTAGACATTTAAATCTAACCAAATAATCATCAAAACTAGAGGCTTCAAGGATTCTATATTGCTCACCTGCCATTATAAACACAAAACAAGAATATTTGTGTTGAATGGTATCAGTTGGGACCAAACATGTCTTACTGGTAATTTTTGCTAAACAGAGTTTCTGTCTATCCATTAAACATTTTTAAATAATAGGCAATATTGGTTTTAAAATTGTGATTTAGGGACAACAACTCCTGTAAGGAGCAAATTGACCTGTACAATTGTTAACTTACTTTGTAGATCTTGTGTTGCTGATAATTTTTCTGGTGAAAGATTCTCTCTATCTGCTATAGTTTACGCCAAAAACACAATAAATTGCTTCGCCCAGCGCAGCTGGATACGACGCTGATGACGTGATAACAATATACGACCGCTTTGCGGTCGTATAAAAAGGGTGACATCTTTTCTATTACAGTTTTCATGATAATAGGCCAAAATGCAAAAAAAAAAGAAGGTAAAAATTGTTATTTAAGAGGAATAACTCTGGTCTGGTAATCTTATTTGAAGATCTTGTCTTGCTGTTTAAAGTTTCTCTTCATCTTTTCCAGACAATAGGCAAAAAGCAAAAAATTGGTTTTTCTGGCAATTTCCAATGTTGTTCATTTTTATATGTTTTAATTTTCTTTCTAACTAACAAAGTTTAAAGTTTCTTTCTATCTAATATAGTTGAAACACAAATAAAAATAAAAACTGTCATTTACTGGTAATAACTCCTATGATTCACCTTTAGCCATGTCAGTCATGTTTGATAGATGGTGTTCATCGTACTTTTTTTTAAAGGATGATTGTGGCCAAGTTGAAAATGGCCAGGTAGTTTAAAAGAAAATTTTTGTAAAAGATAAGAGACAACAGACACTGAGTGATAAGAATAGCACACACCATTTGGGCCAGGTGAGCTCAAAACACTTTTTAACCTTTTACACTTTTAATATCCATTCTCATTCAACAGGTGACTACAAATTTTCACTGTAAAATTATGTAGAAAATAAAATATAAAAACAACATTATAAATAACAGTTAAGGTTTGAACTGTGAAGGTTAATAAGCAAATAAAATGAAATGTCCAGATACCAAAACATAAGTAAAGAAAAAGTATAACAAAGCCTGGTATACCTGAGGGAGTATTGAACATATTTGGTTGAGGCTGACTTGACCCAGCACCAGGGTTATAGACGTTTTCAGGTGGTTGATTCACCCCTGAACTTGGGTTGTACATAGCTGGCTGTTGCTGGCCTGTGATCGAAGCTGGATTGAACATGGTGGGTTGTGAGGCACTATTAGGTTGTGGGTTTAATTGACCTGGGTTGAACATAGTGGGTGTAGCTGTTGTACCTGTCACTGATGGAGTTTTGTACATATTAGGCTGTGAAGAAGGGCCACTACAAAAAAAAGAGAAATACATCAATTTCCTACACAAGCAATTTGTAGTACAGTAAATGAATTATTACTTGTCTAATTTCATGGTTTTCTTATTTCAATTAATACTATCAATCATTTTTTATTCTTTTTATTTCAATAATACAGTACATGGATTAATACCTGTTTTCTTATTTCAATCAATACTATTATTTATCTTTCTACCATAGTTTTGAGTTAGCAATATATACTTAGCAATCATATAGTCACAACTAGTCTATATACTTTAAATAATTTGCTCCCTTTATATTTAATTGAGAATTTCAAACACTTAATAACAAATAATAACATTACTTGTAACTGTTAGGCTGAGAAGTATAAGTGTCTATTCCATAGGCTGATGTTGATACAGCAGGGGTTGGGTACTTGTGAGCCAAAGGACCTGCAAAAACAAACTCAATAAATAATGTTTGTGACACAACTATTAATATTCAGTCATACTTGTAAGCGTATATGCACAAAATATTTATCAGATATCCTTTTATTTCTTAAACTTTTTTATGTTTCATTTCGTCTGATATTAATAACCTTTTCCTTGAATGCAATTAGAAACAACTGAATATTGTTCTTGTTATGCTTTGCTTTCTTCTTTGCCTTATTTTGTGCTTGTCCCAAAAAAGGGGGAATAAAACAATTGTTTAAAAAAAAAATGGTTTGAGTTCTTGGCTTCTAGCAAGGTTGTTTTTAATACTACTATGCATATATCCTACAATTCTTAAAAAAATAATAATACTGATAATATAAACCACAATTTTTTTTAATATTTTGTTCAACTCTGCAACTTAAATGTGAACACACATTTTCTTATATGATTTTTTGAAGCAATCAATTTCAACTTTTTAACGATGTAAATAATAAAAAAAAAAATATTGAAAATTCAGAAAACAGTGCAAACAAATAATGCTATCAAAAATCAATAAAAAAAACATAGCAAAATGTTTGAACTTACAGCATACAAATAAGTACTTGATAATAACAATAAACAAAACTTAACCTTTTGAGATGGCAGAAGGTGCTACTGGTTGTGTTGGCTGAGCAGCTCCTACAGGATTGTAATAATTTGGTGCCTGACTTGTAGCTACTGAGCCATTCATTGCAGAATACTGATATTGGTTAGGGTTCATGTAAGGATTTGTACTATTAGTTGTCACTGTATTAAATGTACTCTTGGCTTGGGAGTTGTGTACTTGTTGCTTTTGGCCAATATTTCTGGAAGGCTGAGTTGCTCTGACTTGTTGTCTAACTCCACCCTCTGGTAACACATCCTTCTTCTGGAAAGGACATTGTGGTGCCTGGATTCCATATGTCTGCTTACCCAACGCATAGAATAGTCTGTCTTTTAAGATGTTTAAATTCAACTGTAAATAAAATAACCAACTTAAATTCTATTTTTACAAAAACAATAACACAATAAACAGTTCTGTTTGGAATTTATGTAACAGGCATTTTGTAATTCTTTAAAATAATCTTCATTTAATTTTTTATATGTATAAAAGGAAATGTGGGGTATAACTTGTAAGATATTTTTGCTAAGAGATTTATGTTTAAATATATCAGAACAAGATATTCTGGTAATCTTTACAGAACTTGGTTTCCTGTCCTCCAGTATTTGATGTTTACAATGATCATACAGAATGTCAAGACAGATCTATATTCTTCTTTCTATCTTTCAAATATTATATTTGCTGCAAATTGAATTTCAACAATGTTTATTTCAAATCAAGGCATCCATACTACCATGTTGCTAATGTTTAACAAGCAGTATTCTGAATGTAATATTTCATGATCAATATTGTTCAAATGTTGATATAATACTACAATCATCTTTTCCTGAATCTGCAGAGAGCAGCTAAAGTTTACGTAAGTCATGATACTTCTTCTGTACTAACATCCTGTTTTCCCCAGAAATTTCATGGTCTACATACAAATTAACAGTTTGTCTACTTTCTGCAAGCAATTTTTAAGCATCTCAAACAAAATTAACATCACAGCCTGAAGGTGATTGTTGTGCAAACACCAATAGGTCAGCAGGCACAAAATCAATGTCATTTGTAGTAATAGCCAAAAAAAACTTAATGAATTTGTGAATTGAGTGCAGCTTCAAACAACTGTCCTGTCTAAAACACATGCAATGTTGACAAAAAAACGAAAAAAAAACCCCAACCTAACCTAACATGCTTTTATGACTTAACAATATGCATAAGTACATTATAACTTACATCAGTAGAATTTCCTAGGTAACTAAAAGCTGTGTCTAGACTTCCCTGAGCTGCTAATAAGTTAGAGTATTGATTTAATTTATCAGCTAAAGCTCCACCACTGATGTCCTGGGCCTGTCCTCGTGATAATTCTACTGCTTTTCTTAAAATCATTACTTTCTCTACAAGATCCTGAAAATAACAGATTTATTATTAATTACCATTGATATCCTTTGCAAAAAATGACAGAACTTTAAAAAAAAAAATGTTTAATTTGTTTTATGGATAGGCACATTGATAAGTTTGATGAAGGCTGGAAGTAAGACTAAGCTTTTTTGTGCATATTTTAATATTGATAACAGATAAATGAACACAAAATAATGAACTCAAAATCTGTTGCCCTTCTAAAAATGTCTGGGTGTAATGATCATACCACAAGAAGCTATTTGTAAAATATTTAACATTCATAGATAGCTATTAAGAGATATATCCATAAGCTGTTTTCTAAATCATTTTAGTATAACAAACATTGGACGGAATAAAAAGAAAGCTGGTGAAGTTGATTTCATAAATTCTGAATTGATTCAATGAATTTTTTTGTAACAATACTACAATAATTTTTTTTCACAAATTTATTATTATGTTTTCATGCAAATTATCAAATTCTGATCATAGTGTAAGCTGCTTGTACCTACCTCTAAAGCTATTGGTGAATTCTGGGATTCTGTATTGTTCAGCCAGTTCTGGACTAAATTCTCTAAGTTACCAGAACATATATAGCATAGACTAGCATACATTGAATATTCACCTCCCATTTCATTCTCTAACCTCCTGGCAAGACTATCTAAAATCAGAAAACATCACATTCATTATATGTTATATTGAATTTAAAGGAAATTAAAGGTTCTTCTTTTATTTTTCTGAACCAGTTTCAGTGTATGGTTAATGCTAAATTAATAGTGAAGATGAGACTAAGATAAGTGCCAAAAATTAATTTAAGGTAGGAGCTAAGGACCTTAGAAGTATAGCCTTAAATATAATTGTGTGCCCCCAAAAGAAAAATTAAGGGATTGGTTGGTATATATCCCAGTTTAAACCAATCTAAACTCCTAGTACTAATACTCAGTTTATTGAAACAGAAAATGGAATGCACTATCAAACCATTATAATCAGGTAAACAAATGATAAAATATGCTTGATTTGATTGTTGCACATTGCCATTTCTATCAAAGACCAATTCAGAGTAAAACTTGTAGTCAGACCTTTATACTCTGATTTTAACAACATACTTAGTCAACTGAACATTTTGACCTCTTTCAAGACAATTTCTTAAATCATTCAACTTACCACATAATGGCACAAACTCTTCAGACGAAGCATAAGTCAATATCAATGCTAATGCCTCCTTCCAGTTAGCAATATCACAACTCTCTACGATGTGGGACCAATTCTGTGTTACTACTGATGATATCAACTATAAACAATCAAAAAACTTTTTTAGCTTAATATATTTTTACAGTGAAAACATGCAGAAAGGCTTCCAAGTTTTTTAAAGTTTTATAATGAACTTCTTAAAAAGTTTGTAATCTTAAAAGTTTCTATATTTTCTCCCTGAAACTAACATAATCCTGCAGTAATTTTTTCCATATTAACTTTGTACATTTACTGCTTCAATTACATCATATTCTTATAACCATATATTTCTTAGCTATATCAATACTTGTATTTGTCTAAATTATACTTTGACTTATAAGAGTTATATCTCCACCTACTTACCCTGCTAATATTGCCATTATTTTTAGCAAAATATCTTTTCTGGGTCCTCTGTAATAGTTCTGGACCACCAGCTATAGCAAGTAAAATTGCCTCTGCCATTTTGTTCTCACATAAACAAAGTTCTACTGCAGCTTCAAAGTTCCCCATTAGCAAAGCTTGACAGAGATATCCTTCAGGATCTGAAACAGGTAAATTTTGTTTTCACAGATACGTTATTTCGAGTTTGACCCTTCCAGCAGACTTTACAGAGATTTATTTTCAATGATTTACTATTTTTCTTGTATCTATATAATAGAATATCAAAGTTTACATATTCCCATTATTTTACTACTTGCAAAAGTCGCAAAAATATATTGCTCATTGAAATTAGTTGGGCACAGCTCATAAGAATGCTGTGTATCATTTTCAGATGGAATTCCCGAAAAACATGTGTATGCAAAACTGCTAGACCATTATTTGATCTAACTTTTCAAGTAAAATTTTTTTCTCCTTCAAGATAAAATAGTTAACAAGCTGCTTAAAATTTGAAATTAAACAATTTGGAGTCAAAGAGTTCCACTAACCATCCTCAGTAGATATATTGAGTGGCGTTTGTTCTACTTTCTCTTGCTGAGCATTTGCAGCGGCTATATCATCAAAAGTGTCCGATATATTTCCACTCGATATATCATCTCTACTACCTGGTGTCTGAAAAAACAAAAAAATTACCTATCTGTAATGAATATCAAATATCAAAAGCTAATGAAGTTTGGAAGCATCAAGTCAACAATAAAAAATAATAACATGAGACAATGTCACACTAAAACAGCTGATTTTACATTGCATTTTTTTATTTTGCTACTCAGTCTTTGCTTAAATGATATAATGCTAATATGTCTTTGTGAATGAAAGTAATGGTGCCATTCTGTCAGAACAACGAAAAGAAAATATGAAATACTATTTTTAACAACAAGTAAGGCAGTAACATGAAGAAATGTGCAATAAATACTGACCTTTGACCCTACATTTGGAGAGGCCTGACCTCCAGATGCTGCAACACCATCCTATAATAAAATTATTTTTTTTTATAAAATTTGACGTAAAAGTCAACAAAAAGAAATATATATGAGCTTCCTTTTCTAAGCAACAGGCTTTCCATTCAAAATAAAGGACTTCTGAAATTTTTTCCAGAAAAATGTAAACATGGAAATTATAGTTTTTTTACCCCAAAATTTCATAATTGTGGTGTGTCTTTTTCCTAGCATCAATGTTTTTTCTTTGATTATGATAAACCACTCAATACTGAACAAAATTAATTGATTCTCAGTATAAATATAAAATAAGGAGATGTGGTATGACTACCAATGAGAAAACTATCCAAATGAAGTGAATTTAAGCAATAATAGACTTCTAGAGATGTAATTATTAGCATGTAAGATTGATGTAGACTTACAGCAGTATGTAACTGTGTCATTCTCTGAGCTAGCTCCTCTGCATCCACACCTTGTGATTCATAATGAGGATCTGCTGATATATGTTCTGCAACCTGAACAAAAAACGAGTTAAATTAATTACTTATCAAGAAAGATTCATTCATCCACATGGGATTCAGATAATTTTTAAGAACTTTTCTCATTTTTTTATTATAACTACATGTAATCTTTATGCAATTTAATAATCTAGTAATATACTTTTTATATGACCATATGCATGTTGACTCGCAAGATAACTTACATGTCATAAGCTTGGGGCTACGTCAAATTAATATATAGTGTCCTACAAAGTTTAATTTTTAAAATCCAAAAATCAAAATAGTTTAGAAAAAACATTTGCATTAATTGTTTAAGGAGACATGGCTTTACAACTTCTATATCAAAACAGAAATATAGTGAAATCTGACTTAAATAAATATAGATACTGTCAATTGTTTGACAAAATTTTTATATCTATCCTATTCCCAATTCATTTTTCCCAATCAATCCCTGTGTTTTAGTCGAAAAATTGTGACATTTTCATGAATTGTACTACACATAAATTCATTATCACATTACTGATATCAAATAAGCAACTGATTATCGAATGCCAGATTTTTCTTATAACTTAACCTTGAAGTGAAAACATCAGGCATATTTCATCATATACAATTTCAAACTGATAAAAAGCAAAGAAAAAGTGTCTTCAATGTTTTCCTATACTAAGTCAAATGAGTCCTTCAAAATAGAGTAAAAGCTTTAAAACTCATACAGAACTGCAAATTAAAGATGACCACAAGCACTTCTTTGATAGGAATTCTTTGCTAGATATTAAATCTTACTGACCATCTATTACAAGTTTATTGTGTTTAATTTGGTTATATCAATGTAAAGAAGATAAATTACCTTTCTGGCTAGTTCTGTTTTATCATACCCCAGGAGTCCTATGTAGTGTTCTCTTGGCTCCTTTTCAAAATTCACCTATAATACACAATAAAACAGTTAAATTTGCAGTTACCCTGGTACAGAAATAATAAAAACATAGCACACATATATTAATGTCTATGAATTGACTGGAAATTGACAAGCATTTGATTCTATCAGTATTTATTTTCCTTTTTTGACTTCTAATTTTTTTTATATACATGTATATATCCATTTATCATTGTTTTATCTGCAACAGACGATTCATTAATGTAATGCTCAACTCTGGAGTTCATTGGAAGTGTGCACTTCCCTGAACATGCTTCTGGTATCACAAAATATCATGTCACTAACATATTTAGCAATATGTCACAAAACATCTTTGCATTCTACCTAATTTAGCATCTTATCACTGTCACTTAAAAGAATCAGGCGATTTTACTTAAGTTCAATCAAAACCATTTAGATCTGACATAGTCAAAATATATTTAAACAGAAGATTATAAACCAACTTATTTTTCATGGATACTTTATTTTGCATTAAGCCCTTTCCAGTCAACTTTGCAGAGATTTATTTTTGTAATTTTCTCAATTTCTATAGTGGGAAGATCCAAGTTTTACACATTCGCTACAATAAATATGCACATGATTTTTCTACTGAAAATTAGTTGGTTAATTATGTTGCAAGTAAAATTGATATGCAAGAAGAGAACAGGACTCTCTGTCATAAAACTTTACTCAGTGCTCTGAGTACAAAATTTGTGCTTGAAACACCAAATCCAGTATTTTGATTGGTTGATGAGTCTGAGTACCATAATCTTGCTCGAAATTTTTATGACTGTAAGGCCAGATGTGTAATCTTTGCTGTATAAATCAATTCAAAATGTCCTATAACTATTTACCCTGAGGAAGTTCCATATATTTTCCTGGATCTCATCAGAACTATTTGCAGATTTCATGGCACAGAATTCCACATATTGTCCATTTAATAAAGCTTGTTCCAACTGTGAAGAACTATTCAATAGTTCAGTCTCTGTTACTACCTGGCTAACATATACATTCTTTGGTGAGGGCTGCTGTGTTGTGCTACTGGAACTTTCAAAACTGACCAGTTTACCACCAAACTGAAATAAAAATATGAAAATATGCTTTATGGTAATAACCCTTTTGTCAAAAAAAAAAACCAAACAACCATGGTATACTATTTACTACAATAATAAAAAAACAAAAACAAAAACAAAAAAACATTCATAAAGTTTTTACCTTAGTGAGAAAATAACTTTTTTTCTAAAAGATGTCTTTGGAATATGTTTCTACTTACAATATACAGATGAAAAAACAAAAAATCCGAGTTAAAAATAAAGATATAATAAAACATTACTTACACCAAAGGATGCACCAACAGGTTTTCTGAGCCATTTTGGAGGTTTTTGAAGGGGCATAACATTCTGTGTCTGTTGTACTTGATGTGCAGCAGCAGCCTGGGCAAATGGATCATTACTCTGGAAAGAATCTGCTACCTGTAAATACAAAAACAACATTTTAATTCTATTTTGAAATTACAGTACATAATGTCCTTTGTAGCATGCTGATGTCAAGTTATGTTCGATATACTGACATCCATTCAGAAGATTGTAAACAGGAAATGAAAAATAATCCTCATAAAATTTGTTGAAAAATAAATATTTAATGTAAATTGTAAAAGTGAGAATCAGACCTCTAATACCTAAACCTGTAAAATCCACAGAAATACAGCAAGGGATTTTTCCAAAGAATTAAACAAATTCTATAAAAGAAAGTTGATGGCTGAATTTTTTTAGGTTGACTCTTACTAGACTTCTTGATTTGTAAGAACTATTGATTAATAGTTTATGCCAAAAAAAAAACCCATCTTGATTGAGTGTTTTCAAGGCCTTTTTAACAAATTCTGAAAATTATTAAGGGCATAAATCCAGCTGTTTTGCCAATTTTATATTATCTAGAATCAGAACTGAACTTCAACTCATAAAGGACGTTAAGCAGAATGATTCATATTTGACCTTGTTTGAATATTATTGAGCCAAAAAATTGTTTGAAATATTATTGAGCAAAAAAAAAAAGATCATTTAAATCCCCAAAACATAGAGATGAAATTGGTAAAGTTTACAAGGTCACTGTGCAAATTACAACAATGACAGATGGAGCAAACAAATTTAATTCTTCTTTTGGAACCTGGACATATAAAAACAAATTTTTTGAACAACCTACCTCATGATAGTTTTGAAATACTGGACAATGCTCATAATATCCATTATTTACAATTTGTCCTTCCATACTAAATATACCTTATATAACATAAATGCCACGATTCCTTAGATATCTTATCATCTACACCATGTTATTTAAAGGTCCTATTTCATGACCTTTGTGTAATCTATATTGAATTTAAACCTTTCAAACTTAAAGGGCTTCAGTTTGTATTTAAACAATGAATTTCAGTATACTTATTTAAAGTTCATAGCACATAAAATTAAATACATTGAAAGAAAATAATTTAAATATCTAAGTTCATACTCTTTTCTTTATTTACTACAAAATTTTACATATTACCAACATACATAAAATTTGTTTCTTGACAGTGACGTTATTTAATGGTGAAAAAAGTTACAATTCCTGGACAAAATATCTGAAATGACTGCAAATTATAACTATTAACATCAAATGATTAAAATTACAAAAAAAAGAGTATGTGTCTATAGGAAACCATGCCCAATCACACTATTACATTTCATGTTCAGTGATTCTGAACCGTGAAATTAGAGTAAAAACTGTAATTTTGCAATAAACTTTTTTTTAAATTCACATCATATTTGTATGTTTGAAGTTGATGTGATCACAATTTCATGGTAAACTACATTAACAAAACAATTTAACATGAACATGTAAGTTGGTTTATCACATTTCTATGTTCAGTGAACAGCAAAATCGCGGTCAATACCATGATTTGGAATGTTGATTTAAAAGTTCAAATCATAATGAACATGTGTACTAACTTTCTAGTTGATGTGAACACATCTTTGTAGAGAGTGTTCTCCATCACACATTTTATTTAGAATCATAGTAAACAGGGAATTTTGAAATACCATATTGTTTATCATAACACAATCTTTTAACAAAAAAGTTTTAGATAGCATCACATGATTCAAGCAATATACCATCATATAACCATGATGCTTAAAGCTTAAAGGTTAACTACCTTAACAGAAAACTATAACCTGAAAATGTAATGCAAAGTTTTCTCAGTCTCAGTGCTACAGTACAAGAGTTATGCACCAAACACAAATTAGTAGCTAACAATGTTTTACTATCATAGTGGTCAAAGGTCAAAGTCAAGGTCCTGACTTTGATATATGGCACCCCCCATCCCATGATGTATCAGAGAATAAAATTCAGACAAGGTTTACATATCATAGGGGTCATAGGTCAGAATGACCTGACTGGTATATGACACACCCAAAGCCTATGATGCAACTGCATACCAAGTTTGGTTAACCAAAATTTATGGTACAAAAGGTATGAAAAGGACACGAATGGGATAAGGTTTTACTATCATAGGGTCAAAGGTCAAAGTGATTGACTTTGGTATATGACACACCCCAGCCCATGATGCAACCGCATAACAAGTTTGGATAACAATGTTTGAAGTAAACTAGATGTGTTTAATGACACAAATGGCCCCACTCGCTAATAAAGCTTATATTTAAGAGTGGAAATTTGAGAATGAATGTCTGTATCACTGTTATTTTCACGTAATTTTTTAAGTCGAAAGCCAGTAATTTCGGCAAAAATCAGTGGAGCGTAACCAGAAGTAAACTCAATCTGTAACTCACCATAGTAGACTCACAAATTAAAAATCAGCTCAATATGTGAAGGCACTTAGAAAAAAAGTCCATATAACTGTAATTTTCACAAAATGTTCAAAGTCCAAAGCCCGTTGTTTTGGAAAAAAACTAGCAGAGCTGGACCACACGTAAACCCCATCTGATATTCATCATAGTTTACTCACATACTACAAATCAGCCCAATATGTGAAGGCATTTCGAAAAAAAAAGTGTGTATAATGCTATTTTCATGAAATTTTCAAAGTCCAAAGCCTGTAATTTAAACAAAAATCAGCAGAGCGGAACCAAACGTAAATTCAATCTGTAACTCATCAAAGTAGACTCACATCTAATAAACTGTTAACACAGAGATATGTCTCGCCTATTTGTTATTTTGATAATGCAAATGTTGAAATTAAAATAGCAATACTTTAACATGTAAGTTATGCAAATATTCAAAGTCAATGACCCATGACTGAAGGTACAGCACTAAACAATCTCCATGGAAATGAGATGTGCCAATGTTAATACAACTGCAAACCAAATACCATTGACTTTTCATAAGTCGTTCCCTTTAAACAAACCTAAACACAAACATTAACTTGTAAACTATGTAAAAGTTTCAAAGTCAATGAACCAGGTGGGGTTATTTAATCTCCATGGAAATGAAACTTGCATACCGAATATCATTGACTTAACATTAGTGGTTCATCTTAAACTGACCTAATCACAAACTAATACATGTAAACTAAGCAAAAGTTTCAAAGTCTATAGACCATGACTGAGGGGTAGGGACCAAATATTCTCCATGGAAATGAGATATGCCAATGCTTATACAACTGCATACCAAATATCATTGACCTACCACTAGTGGTTCCCCATAAACTGACTTTATCACAAACTAATACATGAAAACTAAGCAAAAATTTCAAAGTAAATAGACCATGAATGAGGGGGCGGGGCTAAATAATCTCCATGGAAATGAGATATGCCAATGCTTATACAACTGCATACCAAATATCATTCACCTACCACTAGTGGTTCCCCATAAACTGACCTAATCACAAACTAATACATGTAAACTAAGCAAAGTTTCAAAGTCAATAGACCTTGACTGAGGGGGCGGGGCCAAATAATCTCCACGGTAATGAGATGTGCCAATGCTAATACACTTCCATACCAAATATCATTGACCTACCACTAGTGGTTCACCATGAACTAGACCTAATCACAAACTAATACATTGTTGACGCCGCCGCCGGAAACAGCATACCTATGTCTTGCTTTTTGACTTTGTCAAGGCGAGACAAAAATCAACTCAATATGTAATGGTGTTTAGAAAAAAAGTTGGTATAACTGTTATTTTCACAAACTTTTCAAAGTCCAAAGCAAAAATCAATGGAACTCCATCTGTAACTCTTCATAGTAGACTCACACACACAAAAAATCAGCTCAATAAGTAAAGGCATTTAGAAAAAAAGTGTGTATAACTATTATTTTCACAAAATGTTTTCAAAGTCCAAAGCCCATTGTTACGGCAAACATCAGCAGAGCTGAATGAATTGTAATCCCATCTGCAACTCATAACGGATAAGGGTAAAACTATATTGTCCGACAACTTTGAAGTGGGGCCATAAAAAAGTTATGAGCCAAACACGAATTAGATGAGGTTTTACTATCAAGAGTGGTCAAAGGTCAAAGTCAAGGACAGACTGACCTGACTTAAGTATGTGACATAGCCCTAGCCCATGATGCATCTGCATACTAAGCTTAGTTATCCTAAGTTTTACGGTACAAAAGTTTTGCACCAACAAAGTACAAATTTTCTATAGGCTTGTATGCAGATTTTTGCAAAACCACAAAATCAAATATCAAACTTGTATGTGTCTTTTTCCCCTTAATTGGATTATTCTTCTAAATGCTGAGTTCTGAATGCATTAGTTATTGTCATTGCACATGTACTGATTCCAATCCTAAATAGTTAGTTTTTGAAAATGGTAACTGACAAAATTTACCTGGCAGCACAGAGAATGGGATGTTTTATACTGCAATCATTATGTCACATTATTAGCAACCATCCTAACATCTGGATAATGAACTTCATTAAAAAAAAAAAAAAATCAGAACTGTTTTAATCTACACTAGTGAAACAATGAAGATATTAAAACAGTGTCTTTAGTTTGCACAGAACATTGATCCCTTGAAACAATATAAGATCAGTCTACTACATCAATGATTTCACTTAAATAATTAATTCACATTATTCACATCTTGAGTTGGCTCTCATATCTAGGTCCCCTCATCAAAAGAAAAACTGGATAAAATGACAAAATGGGGTAATATCTCATGTGTGCAGTATGGTTAGTTGTTTTCAAATATTAAAACAATGTGCATCATAAAAAGATTCCACACATTATGACATGCCTTCTCATCTTTTCATTTAGAAATTACTTAATGAACATGAGGTTAACCTAACATTTGATTGTATAGAAACACATCGTCTTACCCATGGACACATCAGTTATTATCTTTAAGAGGATACTACCTTTTACCACAACAATTTGCATGTTTGAAATATATGGATTATGGTAGATTTATTCTTACCATCTTTGGTCAGAATAAAACATTTTCTCTAATTCTTTGGCAATTCAACCCTTTCTGGACCCCTTGTTTAAAAAAATCTAATCAACTTGTGGTTGCTGATGAACTCAGTAGATGATTGGCTAAGTTAAAAGGTCAAAAGCAGTTCGAGAAATTGACATCTTTATATTTGTATGACGTAAAAAATCTTGAATGTGGAAGGCATTCAAAGGGGATTTTCATTTATCAAAAATGAAATTAATTTGATAATCATTAGAGAAACAGATTCTTACATAGTTACTCGTAGATTATCAGATTTATTCAATCTCAATAATTTAGAATGTATTAAGAAGAGGAAAGTTCATGATGCAAAAAATCTCAGACAGCTTTGGTGAAATTTTAATTGTATGAGATGTTCTAGTTTTGCTGAGTTGCAGGTGCTATTTTCATAAAGTCATAATAAAATTCCTGTATATCTTAATTATTCAATTAATAATTACCTTATCAGCTATATGTATAGGATGTCCACCTCCCATCAAGGAGTATACAGAAACATGTCCATCAAAAGAAGAACTAGATATAACACCAGGATTTCTGGGACACCATTGGACATCAAAGCACCATTGTGTACTAGTTGGTAATTCATATATCACCTACAAAAGGAAAAAAATATTTTAGACTTATGAATTTTACAAAATGGCTATTGGAATTCAACATAAAAACCCTAATGAAAGCATTCACAGAACCATTCAATGATTATCTGTCTCTGAAAATCAACATCTACTTAGTTTTTTTATCTTTCCACTGAGAAATTGTCTGCCTTCATAAGGTAGAAGATGATGTAAAATGAAATAGTCATAATCCAAGTTGCATAATTTGTTAATATTTTACAAATTGAAATAAAACTTTTTTTTGTCATAAACTTATACAAATACATATAATTTTTTTATTTGTATTAATCATATTTCTTAAATGTTTTTTTTTTATGATGAAAACATGAAGGTCCGTTTAAGCAAGGACTAAAACTAACTCTAAAATTCAGTGTATTCATTGAAACAATGTTACCATGTACTTTTCATAAAATTTCATTTATGTTGTCTGTAAAAATGAGTTTATACACTTGGCCATATTTAAAGACAATATTTTGACATTGGCTTTTCTGAGATCACAAAATGTGTAAAGAAAAGATGCAGAATCAATGGGATAACATGTACTTACTTCTCCTCCAGGGACATCAGAGTTTGGATTCCAGCACAATATTCTGTTGTCTTTACCACAACTTAATAATAAATCTGAATCCTGCGGACACCAAGCAATGTCTAAAACACCTCTGAAATAGTATGTTTACACTTCATGATAGAAACTTGAGATAACTAAGACACTACCTTGTTCACTAGAATATATTCAAAGATGTCAAATTATGTTTACATAGTTGAAAAATATCCAACTGTTATTCTTTAGGAAAGTTGTCATGTGATCATCTATTTTGATTCTTTTCCCGTATTTTCTGCCAATATTTTATAAGAATTTTGTTTTAGTTTCTGCAATTGCCTCCATACAGTTTAAAACTTAACAATGATGGATACTGTATGTTCAATTTTCTTTTTGAAGGCTTGAGAGGTCTGACAGACGGACAAATGCCAGGTATTTTTATGTCCCATGCAACACATTGCACGGGGGAAAAAAAATGGTGGTGCACTGAACTTAAACCAGTACATGATAGGATGTATCACCTAATTTTGCATTTTCATTGCCCATTTCCATTATTCTGTCAATCATTTCATATTAATGAGTAGAAAATGCAGTTAATGGTGTTAATGATAATCAATCCACCAAAATGTATTTAATGAAACATTTTAATCATCTAAAAAAAATTTGTCAATTACAAAGGGTCATTCTTTATCCCCCCTCCCAACAAAATCTTGAGTTTGAAGTCAGAGAAATTATATAAGCATAACCCCTTGTGCCAAACTATATTCACACAGGATATGGATTGTGTTTTACCCAGTACCACACAATTTGGTTAATGGTGTTTCTCTATCTAATCTAATCAAAATTGTTTTTGAAAAGATACTTTTCTGTTGAAATCTGGTAAATCTCTACCATGACAGACAACTAATGAAATTTTGAAAATATGATCAATAATGATATCATAAAACTTTTTTACTTTTGTTAAATAAGCCTCAAACTAATCTTTTTTGTTTGCATGACCTATGGATGACTGCTAACAAGAATTTTACCTTTGATGATTTTCAAATGTTTTAACTGGTGATGTAGCATATCTGAGGTCCCACATTTGTATGACTGGTGTGTGGTCATCTTCTGAAGATAAACACATCTGTGTGGGTACATCTGGATGCCAAGCTACTTTACTACACTTAATCTGTAAAATAAAACAATATTACCAATAATGAAAACACATAAACTAGAAATGTAGGGTCAGCACCAGTCCTGTCTGCTGACACATTCCATTGCTTGTATTAAATTCTGTGAATAGAAAGAAAGAACAATTGTTGAATTTTGTGAGGATGGAATGACAGATATGGGTATCAAAGTGGTTGCAGTGTAAAAAGAAGGTCAAGTACCTAAAAAATAAACTCCATCACATATCAAATTTGCATTCAGTGTGGAAACTTGTCATTGGTATAGTTGTATACATAAAAATGTTTTTAATTGTCCACTATACACATTGGTGTTGGTAGCAGGTTTCTGCTAGCCTAGGTTAAATACATTAACAGCTTTGTTTTGTACAGATGGGCACTTTATAATTGAGCCATATCATTGAATATAAATCAGAAGACGTGGTATGAGTGCCAATGAGACAACTCTCCATCCAAGACACAATGTATAAAAAGTTAACAATTATAGGTCAAAGTACGGCCTTCAACAAGACCGTATATTAACCTCTACATGTTTCCTTTGTTTAAGCTGTTGGTGATTTGTTTTCTGACATAAACCCTACAGCTCTTTTTATTGATACAAATACAAGCTTGCTGAAAATGATTGGAAACATAATTGTATTGATTCAACAACTTGAGTCAGCTTAAGTTCACTGATTTGTCATGAGAGCTTAACATGTTTATAGAAAATCAATTTAATAAAACCTCTGTTATTAAAATAATTTATGTAAGTGGTTTAAACATCTAAACAGCTGTTTTGTAACATTTTTGTAGGTGAAAATGAAAATAAAATTAGTTTTTACACAATACTTTTAGTTCAACATTGTAATGTGTGTTAAGCATCCTATAGGACATCTTTCAACCAATAGGAATGAGATTTTCTTTTATAGTTTCAGGATCAAATACATAACTCATTGACATGAACTTACTCTGGACATGCTGTCGCTGACTTTGATAATTGGTTCATTTTTACGCAGATCCCATACAACACAACGAGAACCAAATGTTGAAGCTAATATATGCTGTACTTGTCTGTTCCAACACACACAAGAAACTTCTTCTGGTGGCTGATATAGAAAAATAGAGGGTATAAAAACTTATATTTTGTTTCAATTTAAAACATACATTTAAAAACATTCATGGTGTACACTGTACTTCAATCAAAATGAAGCAAAAACTATTAAAAACAAATTATACTTAAAAAATTGATTGATTGGTGTTTAACACCACTTTCAGCACTATTCGTTATTTCAAGGCATTCAGTTTTTGTTGTAGGAAGCTGTAGTGCCCAGAGTGAACCATCGACCTTTGGCAGGAAAACTATACTTAAAAAATATACATTTTCTAAAATTATTTAGATTTTTTTCCACAAACATTTTAAGTTATTGGAATTGTCTATCAATCTTATTTGATTGTTTCAAAATTTAGGTTCTTAAAGCATTCTTCTTCTTTGTGCAGCTTATATGTTTCTTTTGCATTTTGAACAAGTTGAACCCCTTTCACATAATTCAATGGTCTTTACAACAGGAAGCTGGTATTTTACAATACCAATTTCAGTATTTTTCTTTCATTTTATGTTGAACTATACAACTTTCAATAATCAATGGCAACATAGTTATTCATCTCCAAATTGTGGATGAAAACTTAAAGATTCAGAAAATAAAGTGATAGGAAACTTTTAGATTGTCTCGCTAAGGAAAATTCTATGCTGCAAAATTTTCAATAATTAGAATGACTGTATCTGTTTAAAAATACACTGAAATCTTTATACTTCACACATCACTTATCTATAAATCTATCTTACAATATTTTATGTAAAGTATTTTCTATTGTAAAAACATGCTCTTATATGAATCACTGCACAGTACCATTACCTGTGACTTAGCTCCGGGTGTCATAGGACTTTCTGATTTATTAAGATCCCAGATAAATATCTCAGATTCAGATGCTCCAGAAGCAAGTAAATTACTCTGTAAAAAAAGAATTATGTGTAATGTTCATTTCAAACATGTCTTAAATACAGTATTTATCAAAACAAAATCAAATCATATTTTAAATTAAGTAGACTTAATTTAATATATTGCACAGAATCTGGAACAAGATTTTTCAAGAATTGAAGTTTTAACTTTCTTATTGTGTATGTAATGCTGGTGGTTCTGTAATGTAAAAGATTTATCTAGTTTGTATATTGTCATTTGTGAAAAGGGACATGTTATGCATTTTGTAATACTTAGTGTACATTGTCTTTGGGATAAAAATTGTATATTGCCTTTTATGATATAGTGTATGATTTGATTCCACTATGCTAACCATGCTTTAACCCATCAACATGTTCATGTGCCTGCTCAAAATGAGGAACTTCCAAAATGATGATTTTTTTTTTGTCGATCTGTGATGGTCTCTATAAAAACAAATTCAAAACTTTTCTCGACTCTGGGCATCAAGACCTTGACATATTGTCTAGACATTTTTCTATTTATTGAAGGCCATATATTGATCTCTAGATACCTTTTAGTTTAAGTGTTGTTGAGTTCCTGTCTCACTGCTGTATACCCTACATCTCCTTCTATTCATATAAGATACATAAATATAGACTATACCTGAAAATTGTTAAAGTCTAATGCTTTGACAGCTCCAACATGCTTGTCTTGTTTGAACAATAATTTGTCAGATCCTTTGATCATGCTGGCTCCATCATAACAAAATAGGTTACCATTATCAGCACCAGCTACAATCACTCCTGAGGATCCTTCTGACATCCCATGGGAACCCCATACAACTTTATGGAACCTATGATACAGAAATAATCATTTAAAAAAACAGCCATTCTTCTGATATTCAATGGGAACCCCATACAACTTTAGGAAAAAATAATAATCACTTAAAAGAAAAATCCATCTTAAAAATTATTTTTGTTACCAGTCATCTTAAAGCTGAAGGTATATGAAGTGTTTCACAATTTTGGACTTAACAGTGACTTATGCAGTGATAGATAATAACCATCTGATCGGCATTTAGAGCTTAATTCCTACTTTGTCTTTTAATTAGTGTTTCATGTGGTTTTGTCTTATAATGATCTTCATGACAGTTCATTGTTTTCAAAGTTTCAAGAAAACTTCTAGAACTATCAAGGGTTCCACTATTAAAGTTGCCACTAAAAAAAATTCTAGTTTTGATTTTTCCACCAGTTTAGAACATTTTTGCAATATCCCCTTAATTTTGAGACATAATATTTGTATAAAAGTTAACTTTCGCATCATAATGATCCTTAACATTTGCAAAGCCTTCCCAACTTTAATAGCAAGCATAACAAAACATGTGCATGTCTGTTTGTCTACCCTGAAACTGTAGTGATATCTTTAAAAAAAAATATTTACATCATACAGATCTCTATTCTACTGATTTATCAATACACTGCAAGATACAATATAAAAGCACATATGGCAACATTGGCTAAGTCCAGTTCTAGTTTTTTCTTCATGTTAAAAGGAGAAATTATAAATTTGCTGTTTAATTTGGATAAATAAAACAAACAATAGTTGAAAGTTCATTTAATTATTTTTCAACTATTGTCTTCAACAAATTGCATGATAAGTACACCCCCTTTTTAAAATTCAAAGTATCAGCAAACAGGACAAAAGAGTCTGACAGATCCATCAACTTGCATCAAGCACTGGAATATAACAACTCATTACTGTCAAGGTGCTGACCAAGTCATTCTATTAGGTAGTTCTGAGGACAGTGTGACAGAAATATATTTGTTGAAAGTATGGAAGTATTAACAGACAGACAAGACGACTGCAACATACAAGAGTGAGAGTATAATAATTAAGAACCGTTAGACAGCAAATTAGCAAACCCAAAGCCCCCCCTTATTAAAGGGAATAAAGGGAAGAGTGTTTTTTTTTTTAGGAAAGATTATTTTCTCTTTTATCTCATTGAACGTGACCATATATCCAAGTAGGGTTGCCATCTGATATGAAGATGTGATTAAACATCTGTAAACCAAGATGACTGACAGACAGTTCAAATACTATATACTACCATTACTTTGTTGAATGGAGTATAATAAGTGATTGTTGAGTATAGAGACTTTGTTCATGTGTTCTGATAAATTCTTGAAGAGTTTAATGTCAGAATGACCATGATTCAATTTGGGGGTTAAAAAAAACAACCCGTATAATGCCTAATGTACAACATACACAGGGAAATACTAACCTGAAGTTTCAAATAACAATATTCAAATAACATCCAAATTTTCAAATTTAATTAAAATAATGAAAAATACCATTTTTTTGGTTTTTCAAGTTCATGTGAGATTCATGTCAACCTCAATTCACTTGAACTTCATATATAAGCTCATTTGAGGTGAATTTCATATGAATTTTTTCACGTGAGATTCATGTCAAATTCACGTGTCAGAGCAAATTTTGCCTGTGGGCTGAAAGTATTTTACTGCAACACATATTTACCTATGTTCTGATGGTATACTGGCCACTAATGGCATATGGAGTGACGAATCTGACAAGTCCAAATGATAAATTTCTAAAGCTGCTGTGGTACTGCAATAAAAAGTGGACATCAAATCATTACTATAAAAGCGGCAAATTTTTCTTTGAACACTTAACAGAAAAGCGTTCGGACACAAGCAAATTTAGAAAGTGTAATTTTCATTCCAAGAACTTGCATTTTCTGATAAAGCTGAAGTACAATATATACTACTCTAGTTGGCCAACTGAGTTGGAAGCAGTGGATGCTGAATGCTGCCTTATGTTCTGGAAGTTCTGATTTTTATCAAAAAACCAGTCAGTACAAAAGGTTATCATGATTATCTATTATAAAGTAGCACACTTTACATGTAACACAACTAGTTGAATGTATAACAATGAATGACATAAATTATTATCCATTACAGCTTGAATGTGAATATGTATGACTGAGCATCCTTTTCTTGTAGATAATTAGATGTGTTAAATACCAATACGTAGTTTCACCAAGTGCTGAATTTGCTCACTGAGAAGACATTTCAGGGTTCTCACTAGAAAATTTTGTGTACTACAATGTATGCTTTATGTACTATTAAAGTATTTGATCTTACAATGTAGCATCGAGAAACCGAAGACGACTGATGGACTAACTGATGGATGGGGGCATAAAAATAGCTGATGTTATATTTATTCATGTCTATGCTACAGTCAAAATATGGCTCTAAAGTGGTCTAATCATACAGATTAATACCTGAATGTTGCATCCAGCTGTTGTGCAGCTGTACCTGCCACAACATACACTGGAAACTGCTTCTCTGGTGACCAAGCCACATTGGCTGTTTTGTCTATTTCTTTTACTCTCATGTTTTGAATCTGAAAATAAAAATTACATGTATACAACAATTTGTAAATATCTTTCTTAATTGCAATATATATACATGTATATACTAACTTCAAACAAGAATGTGTCCATAGTACACAGATGCCCCACTCGCACTATCATTTTCTATGTTCAGTAGACCATGAAATTGGGGTCAAAACTCTAATTTGGCATTAAAATTAGAAAGATCATATCATAGGGAACATGTGCACTAAGTTTCAAGTTGATTGGACTTCAACTTCATCAAAAACTACCTTGACTAAAACTTTAACCTGAAGCGGGACAGACGAACGAACGGACACACAGACAGAAAAAAAAACATAATGCCCCTCTACTATCGTAGGTGGGGCATAAAAACATACTATGCTAAATAATGATACAAACCATTTTATGATCGATAATAATACAAAATGTAGCTGTCAATGCTCTTGATTTGAGAGAGAGGCACCCATAAAAAACAATATTTTGGAATCTCACTTGATCAATACATGCCATATGACTTCTGTTATAGTATTTCTGAGTTTGATACTTACAGTTTAAATAAAATGCTCCGCTGGGCGCAGCTTGATACGACCGCAGAGGTCGAACCCTGAACTGTTGGGGCAAGTATGGACTCAACATTCAAGCTTGATACAGCACTGAATTTGGATTGTGATTAAATATTTGACACAGCATAGGTTTCTGACACAGAATGAATGTGGTCTAAGAACTTAAACATTTTTTAATTTACCTATTCAAACCATATCATAATTATTTGCTTTTATATATAAATCAGAAATAACCAATTTAAAATGGAAAATTTTTTATCCTTGCAATTGGTTATCACAACTAAGTCCTTTAGTACACACTATGTGTGTGCTTTAATCTGACTATTACTATACTATTGCTATACATAAAACTATTATACATGTATGAACTACATGTATATATATGTGTCAATACCATTTTTTAAGTTTGAGGTATTTAGTTAACATATATATTTGAAAATTTTGAGTCAGGTCATTACCTCTCATGGGAAATCTCCCATAAATCTGGACAGTGCCCCATCATAAAAAAAATTGATCTACATGTAGCTGTCCTATTTTTTTCAGCAAGTAACAGTAAATAAAACTTTTTGTGTGTGCTAAAGATTAATCTTCACATTATGATCTCACTTGTTTTTTTTAATTAATTCTTTATTGTCATATAAGTAAAACATGATACTTGTGACAAATACAAACAATAACAACAAAATAAACTGATTTTAATACATATATATATATATATAAACAAGTCTAAATTGAAAACAACGTTTAAACCTATGATTGCGTTGGATAAAAACCGCAATTTTTATACGTGTGCATATAAAACAAATTTCTTGGTAGAGGGGTCTAAATACAGCACAAACAACATTTTTCAAAAGACAAAAAAAGTGAAAAGTATATTTTAACAAATCGCATTTGACTAACAGGTCGAACAACTGATGTTCTTAAACCATGCTGATATATATATACAAGCAAAAATAACTAAGAGTCCCCTGTCCTCAGCTCTAAAGACTGTTTTATAAAGGAACCTGTTTTTTTCACTTGGTTTATATTTGAAGGATTTAGCAGGACTACAGGGTTCTCACTAAGGATTTTTGAAGGCAAGTTCTGGGTCTGGGACTCATCACTTTTGGCCATGGCGAGTCCAACAGTGAGAAGATGAAATTATATTGCTATCTCATTTATTATTTCAGTTCCTATGACAAAATAGAGTAAGGAAAAGACATCAATTTTAGATTTTTTCAAACTTTTGTCATAAAATAATGATATTTGTGCTCAGTTTATACAACATTTTACAATCTTGATGCATCTTTGGACACCAGTTTTGAAAATGATGAGTCTAGATAGATTTTCACGAGTCCAGGACTTATAGACTCGCCTTAGTGAAACCCTGGGACTACTAGTTTTTCAGAATCAGACAGATTTGGAAATATAGGATTATCTATTACGATGTTATTAAAAAGTTTAATACATAATATATTATAAATTTGACAGTAGAGGAGAAAGTGGTTTTCATCTTCTATGGTGTTCCAAGTTAAACATGTTCTTTGGTCTTGAGGTTTATTCAGATATCTGCCCTTTTCTATAAGTAAATTATGTTCACTGATTCTAATTTTTGTAAATAAACGCCTAATTTCAAAATTTGGATATCTAAGATAAAGTTCTTGATCATAAATAGACCTCTCTGACATTAAATTACATATAAAAAAGAAGATGTGGTATGATTGCCAATGAGACAACTCTCCACAAGAGACCAAATGACACAGAAATTAACAACTATAGGTCACCGTACGGCCTTCAACAATGAGCAAAGCCCATACCGCACAGTCAGCTATAAAAGGCCCCGAAATGACAATGTAAAACAATTCAAACGAGAAAACTAATGGCCTAATTTATGTACAAAAAATGAACGAAAAACAAATATGTAACACATAAACAAACAATAACCACTGAATTACAGGCTCCTGACTTGGGACAGGCACATGCGTACAGAGGGACAGGCACATACATACAGAATGTGGCGGGGTTAAACATGTTAGTGGAATCCCAACCCTCCCCCTAACCTGGGACAGTGGTGTAACAGTACAACATAAGAACGAACTATAAAAATCAGTTGAAAGAGGCTTAACTCATCAGATGGATGAAAATACAAATAATACAAATACAAGTGGACGTTGCTGGGTAATGCACATACACGTATTTACACTTTTGGTATTTAGCTATATTTTGCCTCCGAATGACCTTAGATCTACTCCGAATCACCAATTCAAAACATTTGACGTCACAATTAAAAAGTGATTGTTGCCTGACGTCAAATGTTTTGAATTATGATGTCAAAGTTTACCGGAACCTGTGTGATTTTACGTAATGGCGGACAAATTTGCATACAAGTGTAAATACGTCTATTAATTATCAACAGAAAATTGATTTTACATCAAAACTGAATACTGGAACATGGACGACTGTTGGAAATCTAGGGCAAGAAGATATCACTTTTGAATGGTTAGTGTATCAAAGTAAAAGACGGGAATGCATATTCTTTGCTGTAGTCATTCATTATCCTGCAATCTGTGACACTTAACACGAGGTTTTGTGACACTTGGAACTACCGGGAATTATGCCCCCTTTCAAAAATCCTGGATCTGTGACTGCTAGAGCATAATGCACAGGTTTGTCGAACTCAAAAAGTAGTTTTTGAGTTGTAAATACAGCCATTTTTGTAGATTTGCTACTTTTTTGATATGATGAACCTTAAATTTTTGAACAGGACCTCAAACATCGTCTTATCCAATGGAAAAAAATGAGTGATTTATTAACTGTTCATCATTACAAATGAAATGCGTGAATTTCGTCTCGAGAAGTCGAATGAAAACCATAAAAATGACCTAAATATAGCATAAAATAATGACATTTCTGTACAAAAATGATACCGGCGACTGTCAAATAACACACTTTTACCTGTTTTTTCACCCACCAGTATTTGTCTGGGATGAGATACAATCACTGCTCAAAAGGTATTTGTATGGAAGATATATATTTTATGCTAATCAATTGTTAAATAACACGTTTAAACGATGAAATTGACAGTTCCACGTCTGTCTGCATACCAACGTGGCAAAGGAAGCATATCCCAGCATGCCTTCTACTTCCGTCATCTAGAGATTGCGATGCAATCTGTCCAAAAGTATTAAAAAAACAGTAGATTTTTCACGGAGCACCAGGAACCCCCCAGAAACCCATGCAATGCACCATGCATGTATCGCACATGAATAGATTACAGTGAAATCGACATAGTGCCGATATAGGGTACGGTTTCGGCAACACAATGGTCTATCAGAAAATTCTTAAATCTTCTATTATAAAATTAGCTGTTGACTCTGGTCTTCCGCAGGGAACAGTATTAGGCCCAGCATTATATTTACTATTCATTACTGACTTACAAGAACATGTAACTTGCAATGCAAGACTTTTTGCAGATGACTGTTTATTATATAGAAATGTAAATGACAATTCTGATGCACAATTAGGCTACCTCAAAATGATTTATCTAGTCACAAGTAAGTGCAATGGGAACAGGACTGACAGATAAATTTTAATCCCGAAAAATGTTATGTAATTACATATATCTAAAAAAAATTAACACTTCTGCTTTTATTTATACATTGCATAATCATGTTTAAGAATCTATTAAAGACAGCCGGTAAATATTTAGGTGTAACTATAAGCCATGATCTTGACTGGGAAACACATATAAATAATATTACCTGTAAGGCAAATAAAACCTTAGGCTTTCTTCGTAGAAATTTAAAAAACTGCACACGCAAAGTTAAAAACCTTACGTACACATCACTAGTCCGTCCAGTCGTCGAATACTCTTCCCCTGTTTGGGATCCGTACAAAAAGCACCACACCACTCAGGCTGAGCAGATTCAGCGTAAAGCAGCCATATTTGTCTATTACGATTATGAAGACAGAACACCGGGTGCAGTTTCCAACATGACAAATTCTTTGCAATGGGAGTCGAGGATTATGCCAGGCAATGGGCTAAACACGAGAAAGAAGACGTAGATACTCTTTCCGAATGGATTAAGGCTGTGAGGTCGTTGATACAAATCCGAATTAAGAAACTAAATGGGCATATCAATACCCACGCTACATCAATTTTTAAAGACCCAAATGTTGCAAAACACTTGTCCTACCTCCATGACAAATATGTTGTTGTCCCCGCAGATAAAGCCCCAAAACAACATCGTTTTTGTGTGTAAATATCATTACATAAACTGCTTGATAAATGAATAAGGTATTGACAATTCACTTGGAAACTCAACATATACCCTCACGACACTTACCAAAGAGGAAATCCTGGATAATCATAGGTCTGTTCTATGTTCCTTTGGAATTTCAACCAAAGATGAAGAACTGGATCTTCCATCACTGTATTGGATACCTAAACTACATAAGTGTCCTTACAAACAACGGTATATTGCTGGGTCTTCCAAGTGCTCCACGAAACCTCTTTTAAACTATTAACATCTATTTTATCAGCAATCAAAGCCGGGCTCCAAATTTATTGTGAAACTGCCTATTCTAGAGGTGGCGTGAATCAGATGTGGATACTAAAAAATTCCAAAGATCTTTTAGAGTACATACAATCTAAAACTCTCTCATCTTGCAATAGTATTAAAACATTTGACTTTTCTACACTTTACACAAGTATTCCCCATTTCAAACTAAAAGACAAATTGAAAGAGTTGGTATTACTTTGTTTCATTAAAAAGAATGGCGAACGTAGATACAAGTATCTTGTCTTGGGGAGGGATAAATCCTACTTTGTAAAGAATCACTCTGATTCAAACAGAAAATTCTCTGAAACTGACACTATTAAGATGCTTGAATTCTTGATTGACAACATATTTGTTACGTTTGGAGGACGTGTTTTTCAACAGACTGTCGGAATTCCAATGGGAACCAATTGTGCCCCTCTTCTTGCCGACTTGTTTCTTTATTATTATGAGGCTGACTTCATACAGGAACTTCTTAGGAAGAAAGATAGGAAGTTAGCAATATCCTTTAACTCTACGTTCCGTTATATAGATGATGTTCTCTCACTAAATAATACAAAATTTGGTGACTATGTTGAACGAATCTATCCCATCGAACTAGAGATAAAGGATACTACAGATACAGTTAAGTCTGCCTCATATCTTGACTTACATCTAGAAATTGACAATGAGGGTCGGTTGAAAAAAAAACTTTACGACAAAAGAGATGATTTCAGCTTCCCAATTGTGAACTTTCCATTTCTATGTAGCAACATTCCAGCAGCGCCTGCATACGGAGTATATATCTCCCAACTGATACGATATTCCCGGGCTTGTGTTTCCTATCATGATTTCCTTGATAGAGGATTGCTGCTCACAAGAAAGCTATTAAACCAAGAGTTCCAAATGGTGAAGTTGAAATCATCCCTTCGTATATTTTACGGACGCCATCACGAGTTGGTTGACCGTTATGGAATAACCGTTTCACAGATCATATCGGATATGTTCCTTATGTCGTAACTACAATCCCCTTCCCTTTTCACGATTGTGACTTACCGAATTAGACTATTTACCGGATTTGTAATAACATAAGCAACACGACGGGTGCCACATGTGGAGCAGGATCTGCTTACCCTTCCAGAGCACCTGAGATCACCCCCAGTTTTTGGTGGGGTTCGTGTTGCTTAGTCTTTAGATTTCTATGTTGTGTCATCTGTACTATTGTTTGTCTGTTTGTCTTTTTATTTTTGGCCATGGCGTTGTCAGTTTGTTTTCGATCTATGAGTTTGACTGTCCCTCTGGTATCTTTCGTCCCTCTTTTACATAATAGAAGAAAAAAAGCTAGATTAACAATGCTATATATAACATTAATTGGGGGTTAGTAGAAGTTCCAAAGGACAATTTAACAAAATCTGATAGACGCACTAGGGGGCAACATAAATTTCGGCAAATTGCAACTAATAAACTTCTATAAATATTCTTTTTATCCAAGCACCATCTCTGACTGGAATTCCCTACCTGAAGCAATAGGTATGTCTGAAACCTTGAATCCTTCAAAAGTGGCATATCCTCTCTAACATTTGAAGGACCCACACCAACATTGATCGCCCAACTTATTAAATCCCCAAAGCCACTGTACATAATGTATATATGTTATTCTATAAAATTGAGAATTGAAATGGGGAATATGTCAAAGAGACAACAACTCGACCAAAGAGCAGAAAACAGCCGAGGCCTAGGCCACCAATGGGTCTTCAACACAGCGAGAAAATCCCGCACCCGGAGGCGGGCTTCAGCTGGCCCCTAAATAACAATGTGTACTAGTTCAGTGAAAATGGACGTCATACTAAACTCCAAAACGTATAAATGAACTAAAATAAAAAAAAAACATACAGGACTAACAAAGGCCAGAGGCTCCTGACTTGGGACAGGCGCAAAAATGCGGCGGGGTTAAACATGTTTTGTGAGATCTCAACCCCCTATACCTCTAGCCAATGTAGAATAAACAAACACACAGCAATACGCACAGTTAAACTCAGTTTAAAAGAAGTCCGAGTCCGATGTCAGAATATAGGTAACAAAAGAAACTACGCAAAATGACAATGATACATAAATTAACAAAGGACTACTAGCAGTTACTGACATGCCAGCTCCAGACTTCAGTTAAACTGGTTGAAAGATTATGTCTTCATCATATGAAAATCAGGCACAATTCCTCCCGTTAGGGGTTTAGTATCAAACCATCATACAACATATGAGAAGAACATAACCTACAAATCTAGAGAAGAAGGATCGGTCACCAAAATGCTAAAGGACCTATAGAACTAGACAATCTGCCGTCCGGTCCGGTAGAACTAGCCAGCGGCTCGTAGTTCTATAAGAGGTGGTTGAGGGTTTGGTCCCAGCTATAAATCCTAACGAAATTTTTGTTAAAAGTATAAAATCAAAAAGGTTGATTCAACCTAAACGTTTTGACGACTTTGAAAGTGCCAATATAGTTATTAATTCAGTCAAGAATTTGTATATTCTCACTATACAAATCATTGATTCAGTCAAGAACAATTCAACGGCACTTGATACAACACAATCTAAAACTGAACTGGAAGGAGACATAGTGTGCGCTAAATCAGCCGAGAGCTTCAAGACAGGTCTCTCTTCAGTCGAATAAAATATGGAATTGGTATCTTCGATGTAACAATACAGATACAGATGTATATGTTTTTAACCGTATTGGTAGCCACGATATCTGAATATCTTGGACGTTAAACAAGTTATCATTCTTTTATTTTCTCTCATCTTAATTACTGACTAGTCACCTGTCATTTTAGCAGTAAAAAATAACACCACACATATAAGATGGAAAGAGAGCATTGAAATGTGTTATGAAAATTATAATAGCTCATATGAAGATCTTTTGCACATGCCAATACTCCATTCCCTTAAGTCAGAAGATTACGAGAAATAGCTGTAGAAACATTTAAAATTATAAACATAAAGAGTCTATCATACTTACATGATTTCACAAATATTTGTTTCGATATAGAAATACAACTGACAAACTCCAGATAAAAACAACAAGCTTTATGACTTCGGCTTTCATTACGTATAGAAAGTATAACACACAGAACCATGCACAGTGCAGCTGATAACAAGATGACAACTAACTTGAAAAAGGGGGAAATACGGCACATAATTTGGTTAGCATGTACTCCTTGTTACTGAGGAAAGTACCAACAGAACGGCTATAAAACAACCATTCCTGTTGCTTAATTTTACTAATTAGTACGTTATACCATGGGAGTAATAATTATCGAATGTCATCAATATAACACAATCAATGGGTATACGTAACTTGCGAGGTATATTACAATGATAGTTAATTTCAAAAGATTAGCAAATTGTCAAAACGAAATTGTTCTGACAATGTGCTGTAGGCCTGCATTTCACAAAAAATCTTACGACTCAAATTAATTGATCGTAAGGCATGCATGAACAATTCACAGTAGTTCCGGTCATTTTTGTCTTAAGATTTTTTTGTGAAACGCATATGAAGAGAAAAATGTCCGGATTTATGCACTTAAGTTTTGAGTTAACATTAGCAA